ACCCAGGGTCAGACCTCATGGATAGTGAACAGGGACTGTTGTGTCAAGAGCCACAATGTCTAATGTAGAGCAGGACACTGCACGTCTTAACTAGGCATATATTGTTATTTTCAGAATAAGTCAGCCTATTTAGCGATCACATCAATTTGCATGTTAGTGCTACTATTCATCTTCTGAACAGTGTGTCACTCCCTCAGTCTCAATCACAGTACATAATCAAATGAATAATGACAGATCCAGTTGACTTGATCCTGGTATTGTGCTTGCTGGCTCAGTGTCACACTATGATGGCTGCTGGGACACTTGGGAGACAGAGTCATTATTAATGGGATTAGTTACAGCTGTGCTTTTCCCCCTATGACAAGTCAAAATGTCTGCTGTGCTCTTTCTGTTTTATGTTCTGTATGTTCTGTAGGGCTGTGTATTGGCAATAATCTAGCGATATGATACGTATTATGAAACGGGTTACGATTCAATATATTGTAATACTGTACGCAAGGCGATATATAGCCCTAAAGCTACTTCCTTCTCAGTTTGCCTTGTTACATTGTTACAAGGGGAAGATTGAATTCTGAATAACAGAACACTCATATAATGCTTTCATGTAGTACTGAGTACTTATTGTGAAAGTAGCAGGCTACCAATGGTTCATTGGGGAATAAATACTCAAGGTTCTCTGAAAAGCCTTTGTTATGCTTCGTGTAATTGTACCCTGATGTTTGCTTTCTCTTATAGTTTTCTTTCTTAATGACAGATAGTGATATTTTATGTCAATAAAACTGCAAAAAATACTTTGATACTTGATGCAAATCCTACACAAACTGCATGTCATCCAAATTTCATAACATAGCATAACAGCCGTTATGGCCCTAACAAATTTCCATTTTCATAAGAACAAGTTTCCTACCACAACTGTTTAGTTAAGTTTTAGCCCCTTTTTCGAGGAAACGTTGAGTTTTGATGGTTTTGGGTAATAGTAAAGAGGTCATCGGTACAGAGCACAGATTCTTATTCAAACATCAAAAAGTATTTGAGGTCATGGTTACCCTGGTGCTTATGTTCGAGATCATGTCACGATTTTTTAGTGTTGGGTCGTGTCCGCTTCGATGTAAATATGGGAAAAGAAGGGATAAAAGTGCTAGTGTTGTTACTACTAGCAGTGACTTTTACAGACTCTAAAAAATCTGATTGATATCCAAAGATAACAAACTCAGCAAAACGTCTACCAGCTTACAATGTTATATGATGTCAGAGTGGGCCATTCTATAGTTGTGGTGTGATTTGATGAGGTTTGGAGAGTCACGAAGATCCACAGACTCAGTTGTGAATTATTATGTGGAGAGTTATTTTGATTGTTGCCCACTAACAAACAAGCGAAGGGACATATCATGTGGGCAAGAGCTGTGTCTGACAGTGTCCAAAATACTCACCAAGGAAGCTCGTGAATTTCATATTTTGACAGATGCTCATGGAAGGTTAATAATGAATAGATTTGTTCTATTTTGATTTGAAAGACTACAACTAGAGGTTACACATAGCTAATTGTAAAGCTGGCATTAAAGTTAACTGAACTTGAAGTCCCAACATTTGAAAATGTCATCAATGAAAAAACAAATTTAAGCACTTTAGTTTGACATTTGTCTTTACTTTCATGAGCACCAAGGTGGAATTTGAAAAGTTTCATTTTCTGGAAGCTGTGAACAATTCTCGTACCTGATGATAACATGAAACTTTTGTAAAATAACAGAAGATGTATTTCTTTTATCGTTATTGTTTCTTTAATTTTACGTCTTATAACCAATTATGTACGGTATTAATCCAAATTTTTATTAGAAAAAATTGTATCTGTAAAATGACATTAATTTTTTGTATTTCTAATCATATAAACTTGGAATTTTACATTTCTTTTTCAACCTCATTGAAGACACAAATACCTTTTTATTTAACAATAAATCTATATAGATTGACAGAACAACTATTCTATTACTACAACCTTTCCCTCTTTTCAATAATAAAAACCTTATTTTAACAGTTTACAAATTAAAAAAGATATTATTCACTGATGAAAACACAATTATTCATTTTTTTATTCCATAATTATACAAAACATCTGTCTGAAATTACAGAAACAATACTTCTTTTACTGTTAAATTTCACAAATTTTATCTGATTGAAAAAAATGATTTACCATATTAAACTTGAATTCAACAATCTTATCTATTCTAAAAATGTAATACTATAATGTATCTTGGTGAATGAAGCGTGCATTTTTGTTATGCTCCATCATTAAAACAAACCCTTTCCCTTGCTTCCATACGCTAGCCTTTTAGCCAAAAGGAGCCAGTCTGATTGTATTCACCTCACTAAATGTCACTATGATGAGAGAGTATGTCCCTCTGATTCCAGCATTCAGTGTTGTCTACATGTCTGCATGTTTGGGTGTGACTGAGGTACGGCCCTGAGAAGAAGGGCCTTTGTTGTGACGCAAACTGCATCAAACATGTTCATGTTGCTTGGGTTTAGGTTCCCTATCAATTTGGAATCTAATTTATTATGCTGTCTGGCAATATCAAGGGCCTGCTTCTAAAGTATTTGGGGATCTGCACTCAGTTCCGTTAATCCTAACAATACTCCATGTGTGATGCCTAATGTCCCTGTTCACTCTGCCACATGGAGAGGATGGTGATGACTCAAGTCTCCTTTCTGTTCTCGCTCGATCTCCAGGTTCTTCCACTTTCTTCCCTGGTAAATGTTGTGCTGTTAGCGGAGCTGCTAATTGGGCTACTTTTAGGTTGCGTCTGTGGGTTGCGTCTGTGCTGCATCGTCACTGTCTGCCCTGTTTAACCTACAGCTACTTTACTAATCTGCTCCTGAAGGAAGCCTTGTTCCTCGTGTGAGAGAGTGAGTTGGACTGCCATGTTAGGAGGGCTGCATAACACAACTGTCATTTGAAAAGTTTCACATCCTCTTCTTTTTGTATTTCCTTGCATTTATTGTTCATGAAACATTTTCAATAAAATACTAGTTATTTTGTCGTTGCACATTGAGTTGAGTTTGTTTTAAATCAAAGCTGTTTGTTAAAGGTCCCATGAAATCAGTTATTTTTTTATCACATCTGTATTGTGCCCAACAATGACAAAAAAAGTTTAGCAGGCATTGTTAATGGTATTTTAGAGTTTGTCGTTTATTGTAAAACCCTAAAAATGTTGATGAGCCATCCTGCTTTCTGGCCAAATACTCATTTTGGGTCCAATTAAAGGCTTTTTAATATCGACGCAGGCTTAACATCGGGATGAATCAGCTCCATCACAGGCATGATGCTGCTTCTCTTCTTCACCAGCATCACTGCCGGCTTCAGATCCAAAAACGACTTTTTCATGTTCTCCTTCCTCCATTTCATCCCTGTCTCATTCATGGGACAAATCCGTGGCTGTGGGGGATAGTGCGATAAGTCCTCCACAACAGAGCAGGCTGTCAATGTGAAATTTAGCGGGAACATAACACACATCCATCCATCCATCCCTGTCTTACAGTTGTTACAGGAAACACGTAAATATACAGATTTAAATAGCAGTCTGCTAGCTATTTCATGGAAACTTTAAAGTTTATAGAGTCTCAACCTACGCAGTGTAGAGCATAGAGATGATGTGTGGAAGACTGAAAAAGAAGTAGACAAAAGGAGGTGGTTGCTCCAATTTGGGTTTTCAAAGGTACTCTAGTCTTGGCAATGCAAGAAATCATCAGAAAGTAAATTAAAACACATATTTAAAATAAGTCCTGAACTGGGAATGGGATGATTTATTTCAGTGTTAGAACATGAACTGACCTGCATTCAGAGGTTTCTTTCTGACTGGCCGACTGCCCTAAATCTTTCAGTATTAGTCCACTATTTGTACTCAGAATTTTAATCCTCTTTTAATCTACCAGAGGAATGGTGTCAAAGTTCCATCCCTCTGTTTGACAAACATTTTAAAAGCATGCAGGGACCACAGTATTACTGCTGTTAGGGGACAGGTGTTGATGGTGGATGTGCTCATATCATATAATAGCAGGTTATTAACCCAATCAATCATTTACCTAAAGAACTAAATCCAAATCACAAAGGCAAATGTCTCTCAGTTACTACCATGTACATGTTTAAAGAGTCATCTTCTCTTCCAAACAGTACATTGCTTATGAAAGGTTGGATAAGCTCAAATGCACTTTGATTATCTGACATCTGAAATCATTTCCATGCCTATTATTCACTCTGTGACATATAATAACATGTTTTCCTCTATATGGTGGATGTATTTAATGTTCTGACACTAGTTCTTTCATACATTTTTTTAAAAATCAGTTAATTTGATTTTACTGAATTATTATTATCTCAGGTATTGTTCTTCTGTTACAGAGTAAAAACAAAAGTCACATGAAAAGTTCTGATAAACTGTGTGTCTTACGACTGGAGAACCACAGGGAAGAGCAGGACAGGCCCCCTGCTGGTCAGTAGAGAGAATGCAGGTTTAAGACACCAGAGGTCTCCGCCTGGTTTAAATACACTGGGCAGGTGTAGGTGATTACACACAGGTGGATCTACACAAGGGTGGGGCAGACAATCACAGTGGCGGGAAAATACACAAAGGCAGGAAGTGAATTGACCTGAAATGAGACAAGAGGTAGATAACACAAAATAAAACAGGAAAAAAGGAAAACTGATGAAATACAAATAAAAACATAATGGCAGGACGAGACAAAAGAAAGGAGCCAAATCAGCAGCTGCAGAGAGAGGTGACATTCAGATACTGCGTTTCAGCCAAGTTTCATGTTCTAAATGTGGAACCAGAGACTGTATACGTATATATAAGTGTGGAACACACCCACAATGTTATTGACCAAGAGGTGCATGCTGGGTCTATAATTCTCATTGTGGATCCTCCTGCAGCGACCTCACTGTGGAACTTCATCCTTCCTCCTGTCCCTTCGTCTTACTCAGTCCTCTATCTGCTCTCTCTGTGCAGCTACTCAGTGAAAAGATCAGTGGGGCAGAGGGGACCAAGCTGGATGAAGACTTCATGGAGATGGAGAGGGTGAGTTCAGTACAGGAGTCTGCTCAGCAGTGAACATGGTCTCATGATGGTGAGACTTTATGATTTCATAAAGTACAAACAGCTCATCCTCAGCTGATAAAACACTTGTGGTGGTCATTGATCTCCCAGATTTCACCTACAAACAAGTCTGATGAAGGACTGTTACTATGAAGATATCAACACAATTTCCTGGCTGGAGTTTGCCCTTTTGATTGGAATTAGTGTTTGATTAGATGTAAGTTATACATTTCTGTTGTCAAAGGAAGAGTTCAACATTTTAGGAAACTGGGAAGATCAACATCAATCTCATTTAGTCAGTCGTCCAATCTCAGCACCCTTCTTTTTTTTTTTTATTGTGTCAGTGTACACAGAGCAACTCAGAATAACATCATGACAGCCTTTAAACCTTTACAACCAGCAGCAAGCAAGAACCCCAAACAGGTAGGTGAGGGAAAAGGCCCAGAAATGTGCAGCGAGCCTGTAAATAGCGAAGCTATCTGTTTCATGACTTTATATTCATGTAAGAAATATAGAAACCCTTTTTTTTATTGTCATATACATATACACAAAATTTGACTTCTGCATTTGACCCACCCCTGTATATAGGGAGCAGTGGGCTGCCAATGACAGGCACCCGGGGAGCAGTGTCTTGCTCAGGGACACTACGACACATCCCATTCGAGGATCAAACCGTTGACCCTGCGGTTACCAGACAACCCTCTTAAGCCAGTGAGCCACGGTCGCCTCCAAATATCAATGAGATTATAGTTATCAATTTGTCCTGGAGATACGTGATGACTATAAGCTGTGTGCACGTAATAAAACATATTATTAGTCACTTAAAGATGACTTTATATCTAAATGTCTAAATTTACTCAACAATTGAAACACTGCAGAATTACTCTGGCGACACACTCCAGCCTCCATATTTCAGGGTTGAATTTGATCTCCAAGTTTATTTTAACTGGCATGAAAAGGGTGAAGTTCAAGTTGAAGAGTTTAGTCGCACTTTGGATCTTTTTTCTCAGTCCTAAGTATCGTCATTCACATTTTGTTTAAAATAGTGTAACAATGAACCCAGCTTGGGTCTGAATCACTAACTGAATGTACTGTTTCAAATATCCTCTAGAACAAAAATGTATTTACACATAAATGCAACATCTCTTTTGTAAACGTTCTTGTCTTGCTCCTTTTAGAAAATTGAGGTGACCAACAAGTCCGTGTTTGACCTCTTGTCCAAAACAACAGAATACCTCCAGCCTAACCCAGGTAAGAGAAAAAAGATGGATCATATGTTATTCTGTTAAAGAATGTACAGTTACTGTATCTGCCACTACAACACCGTCCTGTGTGTGGTATATCCATGCTGAATCCTGTGTGTGGTATATCCATGCTATTGGATTGTGTATATTCATGGTATATTCATTGTTTTCCTCCATAGCCTCTCGAGCCAAACTGAACATGCTGAACACAGTGTCTAAGATCCGAGGGCAGGTGAAGACCACTGGCTACCCTCAGACTGAAGGCCTGATGGGAGACTGCATGCTGCGCTACGGCCATGAGCTGGGAGACGACTCCGTGTTTGGTATCGATTCTCATATTCCAGAAATTCCTAGATAGTGGACAGGGCTGCAGTGAGGTGACTGGGTTTCTCATTCAACACTAGCATCTGTTGAATTCTTGCTGTTTGACTGCCGCACAACTGAGGAGCACTGTCACACTCCTCCTGGATTTCAGATTTGTAACATCAGAAAAACTCAGATGTATGCAGTCAAAACTTCACTCACAAATTGCTGGATTGGAAATGATCACATTTTTAAATACATTTTTATTTGCATATATAACAAATATAACAAATGTCAAATTTGCCTCAGACGGTTTTACAATCTGTACAGTTTACGACATCCTCTGTCCTAGGACTCTAGCAGTGGCTAAGGAAAAATGTAGAGTAACAGTGGAGGGATCCTTTGGACTGAAGTGCAATAGATGTTATGTGTACAGAATGAAAAACATAATATAATGAGAGATGTAATAGCAGTAGTAACGCTAATAATAGCAGAAGCAATGATAAAAAAGGATTTCCAATAGTAATAACAGCAGCAGTAGATATAATATAATAATCATCATAAAGAAAACATTAACAATGATAGAATTGTGACTAATAATAATAGTAATGATAGTAGTAGTGGGTGTCAGCAGGGCCACGGCAGGAGGCTGGACCACGATCCAAATATAACCACGATCCATGGAAACCTGCAAGGAAAGAAAGCACAAAGATTCTGAGGAACAAGCAAAGTCAGTAATGTGTATTAATGGGACATGAATTCATACAGAAGAGAAGAGGAGAGAGGAGCTCAGTGTATCCTAGGAAGTCCCCCAGCAGTCTAGGCCTATAGCAGCATATATAGGGCTGGTCCAAGTCAAACCTGAGCCAGCCCTAACTATAGACCTGAGCCAGCCCTAACTATAGACCTGAGCCAGCCCTAACTATAAACCTGATCCAGCCCTAACTATAGAGCTGAGCCAGCCCTAACTATAAACCTGAGCCAGCCCTAACTATAAACCTGAGCCAGCCCTAACTATAAACCTGAGCCAACCCCAACTGTAAGTGTAATCAAGAGGAAAGTCTTAAGCCTACTAAATGGGACAGAAAGTGGACCTCTCCTGTCAAACCAGCTGAAGGCTCTGGCTCCCATTCTATTTTACACTATAACATAATTGGCTGTAATGTTTTCCAGGTTGGGTGTTAAAGACTAAGAACAAGGCTTTCAAAAAATTTATTTATATTATTAAGTTTAGGTTTCGGGTTGATTAAAAGGCTAGAGTCAAAGATGGCTGCTACTCCACCTCCTCGGCCGCTGCCTCTATAATGTAAGTAATTATATGACTCGGGGTGTGAATTAACTTAAACTGACGATGACAAAGCCAGGTTTCAGTAAGATTAAATAAATAACTTACTGACTACTCACAGTGCTGAAAGCGCTAACAGTTTTCACCTGGGGGGGGGGGGCCGGAGGGTGCCGCCAAGTGTCGGGATGGCGTTATCAGCTGTAAAGGTTGTATGAGCGCAGTGCAGAGAGGCGCCCATGAGCTAGCCAGTGGGGCACGCTTACATGCACTAAAGGAAACTGTCTATCCATCTCCTCCGCTCCGTTCATTACTGTGGACAGCGGCGCATATACACACACACCCACACACACACAACGAACATCACTGTCCCCTTGTGGCACCATAACCAGGGACAATGGATGGAACACGTCCTATTAACTTGACCAATATAGATTTGACCAATCACATTCCACCATGTAAATTCTTAGTTTGGGACCCCCCTGGAACAGGCCTGTATTCTCTATTTGCCCCATTCCTATTCTTGACTCTCAGGTGTACATTTTATCACCTCATTGTTTTCTGATGTGTTTCTGTTTTAATTTGAACACAGCCAGACACGGTGCATGTCTTCAAAGGATTTCTGTGATTTCGCACCCCGCAGGTTAACTGAAGAGATGTGCTTTGTCTCTCTGTCCTGTAGGCTCTGCTCTGGTGGATATGGGCGAGGTCATGAGGCAGATGGCAGATGTGAAGGACTCCCTGGACATAGGTGTCAAACAAAACTTTATTGACCCCCTGCAGAATCTACAGGACAAGGACCTCAAAGAGATCACGGTACAACTTTTTTGTATTATTACAGGCAGGGAGAGAGCTGTTTGTGTGTGCTTGGTTTGTCTCCCTCACTTTTTAGTGAAACTGCTAAAACATTTTCAGCAGGACCTTTTTACCTTCTGATATATCCGGTAAAATTGCTGCACTCCCATACTTGTTACCATGGTTACAAAAGATGTAACTGTTCTGAAAGTGAGACTGAACTGGTGACTAAACTTCCAAGGTCTTGCGTTGCGGTTCCGTCTTCCATGTGGACCATTTGTGTTCAAGTTTACAAATGGACAAAGTCCCACTTCTCGGTCTGTGTTTGTTAGTGAGTTAGTTTGAACAGCACCAAACAGCTTAGTTGTGAAAGAACAGGAACAAATTGATTGTGCTTTGTGCTCCAAAAATAACTTTCCACTAACATTTCACTTTCCCGATGCATTGTGTTGACATGTTCCTCTTTGTGTCTGCAGCACCACCTGAAGAAGCTGGAGGGCCGCCGGTTGGACTTTGACTATAAGAAGAAGCGTCAGGGGAAAATCCCAGACGAGGAGATCCGGCAGGCTGTGGAGAAGTTTGACGAGAGCAAAGAGCTGGCGGAGAGGAGCATGTTCAACTTCCTGGAGAATGATGTAAGAGAGGAGAGAACTTCTAAATCAAGAACAGACCAATAGGCATTAGAATCACAAGCATTGTCTAGCACCTGGTGAAGGCTGATATTTCAGAGTGGCCAAAGAGTCTAACTTGCACAAACCATAGTCAGATATAAAAAAACATAGTCAGATATAAAAAACAGTCAGATAACGGATTGATGAGTCAGGCAGACTAGAATAACATGTTCAACTAAACAACCCCTCTGCCCATGTTAGACGAGACACACTTAGGCATGATTTTAAAATGTAGTAACATTCAGTATATACAAAGTCAGATAATTTCTTATATTATCTGTCTGTGTATGTGTGTGTGTATGTGTGTGTGTGTGTGTGTGTGTGTGTGTGTGTGTGTATGTGTGCGTGTGTGTGTATGTGTGTGTGTGTGTGTGTGTGTGTGTGTGTGTGTGTGTGTGTGTGTGTGTGTGTGTGTGTGTGTGTGTGTGTGTGTGTGTGTGTGTTCTTGTGGCCAATAGGTGGAGCAGGCGAGCCAGCTGCTGGCACTGATCGAGGCGGCCGCAGAGTACCACAGGCAGTCATGTGAAATCCTGCAGGAGCTCAGTGGAAAGCTGCAGAAGAGGTGAGGGAAGCGCTTCGCTTTGCCGTCAGTAATTACTTTACAGCATTCATCCCCTGTGGGAGGACGACAATCTCACTCTGGTTCTGCTGTTCAAAAAGTGATTTCACTCAGAGTGGTTGTGACATTGAAAGCCTGAATGACAGCAATGAGAGTAGTGACAGCAGGTCTGTGAGCAGTATACATTAGCCCAAGAGCAGCCATGACTACTGTCTCAATACCATGGCCAATGAGATACCTGCGTTTCAGTACCAAAACCAAAACTATACTCTTTTCCCATAGTATACTGCAGACTTGACTTTACTGAGTACGAATGTGATTTATTTTCCAAAAAGGGAAGAAAAGTCAAACTTGACAAAAAGTTAGTTGGTTACATGCATTGCTCTGTGTTGTGTTCACACAACCAAACTCAACTAACGCTCCATTTTGCACGTAACATTCTGCTACATCCGACAAAAATAAAAACATGTAAACTGGTAACTGGCCCATACAACGAGTGCCTCATTGCATTCCTCTACGAAAGAGACAAGGGTAAGACAGGAGGAGGAAGTGGACACAAAGTGTGATTGAAATCAAAGCTTCATATACAATAGTGATAAATTGTGTAAAAACAGGTGGGAGATACAATGAAATGTAAACAGGGTCATTTAAGCGTTTGTTGTTGTAATACTCATTGTGGCCTCAAGAGGCTGAAGTGCACGCTACACCATGCAGGACTAAAGGCATTCATTCTTTCTTCTAGGGGAGTTTTGATTCCTCCATGGACTCTAAACACAACGTACATATATTGTGTGTTAACAAGTTATGTATATGAAAACATGAAAGAGAGATCAAGAGCGAAAACAATTTAGATCCGACTTAGAAAGTGGATCACCAGACTTTTTTTTTTCCGGTGGAAAGAGCAGCGTATGCTCAGCCCCTGGTAACGAGACGGAGAAGGTGGGGCCAATTCAAAACAAGGATTTGTTTGTATTTGTTTTCCCTCTGCTACCTTCTCACCCCAGGATATCCACAGCCAGCAGCCGGCCCAAGAGAGAGTTCAAACCCAAATCCATCAGGAGCAGCATGGAGACCCTGGACAACAGTCAGCACAACGGCCTGTCCTACAGCTCCTCGCTGAAATCCACCGGTACATATTCCCGCCTTTACCGTACCTGTGTTTCTTCTTTCGTTTATGCAACTTCCTCCATCAGCCCCATCTTCATTGTTTGCTTTGCCTTCAAGTGTATACATTTTTTTTCTATTATCCCTCACAGATATCCAGATCAACCCCACAGTCAATGGTAAAAGTAGGTATTACTTTATACAGTGTTGAGCTGATGGTCTCTAAATGCACAAAGTATATTTATCTTCCCTCACCAAATGCGGATTACTATCTATACTATTCTATTTACTGACAGTAAACATCCCACCATTCAAACCTTCTGAATGTTACGATAATTATTTTATTTAACAATTAATTAATGTGGCTATTATATCACTAACTGGTGTTATTTCTAACACCACTCATCATAAAGTGAGTGTGTGCATTGTGTTGTGCTGTCTTGTGCTCAACACCATCTTCATTTGTCTTCACATCTCACCCAGCTGATCATATAAACTCTGTTCCACTGTCATGGCCTGAGAGCCCCACCATCAATGGCAATATTCACCGTGAGTAACACACACTGACTGCATTAAACACGTCTGTGACGGCGGACAAAAAACAACAACTATTTTGCTGATGAATGAAATTGTAAGTCGCTTTGGATAAAAGCGTCTGCTGTAATGTAATGTAAGTTCACTTGGGTTGTAATGAAGTGGGCTCAGTATTAGCACTGAAGGTCCTCTTACTTCTGGGCTTTCAGCCAAGTCATCAGCAGGTGGAGTTGGCTCTTTTTTTCTTAGCTATTGTAAGACTCCTTTCAGACATTTTGTCAATGACTAATTGGGGGGAAAAAAGAATTACTTGATAATGAAAGAAATTGTTAGTTTGTAGGAAAGAAGGCAATTCTCATCCTAAATGTGCAGGACTGAAATCCTTGTATGATCTCTTCCTGTGGTGCAGAGGCCGAGGTGTTGGACCAGCCGTGCTGCCGCTCCCTCTATGACTTCGAGCCAGAGAACGGGGGCGAGCTGGGCTTCAAGGAGGGTGACATCATCATCCTCACCAACCAGATAGATGAGAACTGGTACGAGGGCATGATCAGCGGCGATTCCGGCTTCTTCCCCATCAACTACGTGGAGGTCCTAGTCCCCCTGCCTCAGTGAAGACCGGCAGCTTGAGTCCTCTAAAGACTCCCTACCTGCCTCATAACACTCAGCCTCTGTACCCACTCGGCCAGCTCAGCCCGAAGCCGGAAAAGAATTTCTGTCGTCTGATTTTCCAAATGGAGCCAGAGAGGTAGTAGTTTTGTCCCAACCTGACGTAAGATGAAATTTTACTGATTGAATTGTTTTCTCTGTTGATATTTATGAACCTGAATCCAACTGAAAACCAAGCCATTAAGTGGGACACTCTGCCTGGTTGGACCCTTCATGTCCTTTGGGTCTGACCAAGGTGAAAATGTCTAGCAGTCGTCAAACGCTGTCGTCCATCCGATGACACCGCTCTCTGTTGAGCTAGCTGCTTCTTTTTGCCCCCCCACCTCAAACGGAGGCTCCTGAACTCTGCTTGATGTTCACCACTGGACATCGTGACAAAATTGTTTTGTCACTACAAACAAATGATATGCTTTAATTTGCATTATAGTCACATACGGAACATTGTATTCATTTCAGGATATTTTCCATCTCTCATACAGTTACCCCCGAATAACGAAAGAGGCTATGTGCTTGTTCTCAGATCCGGTCATAGAGGTGGCATGCACTGTCACGGATGTCTCGCATCATGCTGACAACATACTAGCCAGCTAAACAGCTAGCATAATCCAAGTATGTATGTAGTCAGATGAATTAGCTTGATGTTTAAAGAGTTGGTTCACCCAAATGATCCCTAGAACCCAGATTTGATTTGATTTGTTTATTTGTGGTGCACACAGGATTGAACAAAGACAATTCAAGCCGTACGGAAGTCATGTATTTTAGAAACATTTTTTTTATATACATTTGTTTGCATCCCGACAGCAATCGATAAATCAAATGCTCTGGCAAAAAGAAAAAAATAATCTGATATCCTGTGGCTGTCACAGGACAGTAATGAGCCCGGCCCGGATGAAATGACTGGACAGGTCACCTGACCGTCTGCTTTCCCGCCTCACTACCTGGGCGCACTCTGCACTCATTGCGTGTCACCAGAGTCTTCCACAAGCTGGTAGCTTGACAGCTGTGAGTACTGAAATTCGCCATGCTCGTTGTTTAAGTTCATAATGATTATTTTGGGGGCAGACAAAAAATAGGATTTGTGTGAACTGACCCTTTTAAAAAGAAATGATGAGTCGATGCCTTTTGATGTCATTCAACATTTCCTCTCTCCCTAGAAAACCTCCAATATGGCCGCCACACTACTGTATTCCACAGATTTTTGAGTTTTTTTGTATTTTAAATAGAATTTCATGTTCTGTGTTATTGTCCAAACACAAGCCTCGTTTTTCTGAGTGCTTACAAGCCTTCAAGTGAAGTCTTACCAAAGTTCAAGGATTATTTAAACAAATTACAGCTTCGTCCTTGTCGTAGTTTTGGCCATCACCTCTATCAGTAAAATAACATTGTACTCTTTAAGTTACTGATATCTGTCACATGGTGACATTGCTTTATAGAAGTCAGATGGGTCAGGAAACACCTGCAGCCAGACAATTAGACAGGTTGTGAAGCACTAACTGATATGGGTCATTCAACAGCTGGTTCCCCTCAGCGCTATAGATAGATAGTTGTTGTGGTAAATGTTATTTTCCCCCAGGGGGGAGATTTTCAGCAGAAGTAGAAGAACAAATCCCACGGTATAAAGAAAAGTGCAAAGCTATAAATCATCTTACAGCTCATTGATTTTGTTTTACAGCCTGTACATTTACAGTTATGGTTCAGTCTCACCACTCTCATCCATTTGTTTCCAGCAGCAGTAGGCTCTTATAAAACCACAGCACACAACTGCCTCAGCATCAGGCAGACAGACACAATTTGAGACTAGCTGGTGAACGTAGTGGAGCATTTAACAGCTAAAGATAAAGATATTTTTTCGGATGTGTCAGTACTGTTTGCTCACAGTTTAAAAGGACACATGTTCAAATATGTGTGTGATTTTCAGCTTGTTGTGAAGGTCTGCCCCCAAGTGGCCAAAGAATAACTGATTTAATGCTGCTTTAAATAAGCCCCTAGGTAAGCCAAATGAATTTGGAAGAGAAGATGAAGTGAAAACGGCAAATTATTACCCAAACTATCCGTTACTAGCATCCATCTGTTATGGTGGGCGAGGACCCACATGCAGGACACTGACCAGAAGTAGGTGAAGTGATTAGAAGGTGTATTTATGGACACAAGGGGGAAGGTAGTGGATGGACTATCAGCAATGCTTCAGGCTCACTTTCAGTTTTACTGTAAAAAAGAAAAGAGTTTAGATAATCTGGACACATTGGTGGCTTTAAGAACCTGCCTTTTTGTTTCTTTCCCTGTTGAATATCTGGTAGAAATGATGGCCAAAATTACACCCAAGTTGTTAAAAATCAGAGTTACCTTTTAAAATGTGGACTAAAACATTTGCCTACACAAAAACACTCCATTCATTCATTTATTTTAAGACATGCTTTTATGAATTTGTGAACGTCTTAAACCACAGCTCTTGGACAGTGATCTCACCTAACTGGCAGAGTTCAAGTCATTCCACTGGTAGACAGTCCGCTCTGTTAGACTCTCCCTGTGTGTTGTAACTCTACATTTCCTCCCCAAACTGACTTTGCCTATTTTGCCTGCTGTGCTCTTAAGTGTCGTCCAGAACACGTGTTTTTATGAGTCTGAAGAACTGAAGTGAACTCATCTCTCTGAATGTCACTCTCGCGCTCTGATTACATGCTCTGACTTATTGTGATATAATGTAAGGAGCGTAGTGCCCACTCTTTGTCAGACAGGGATGAATGCCTTGTCACACTGACACCGAATGAAAGTGCTTTTTGAAATGTCGTCTGTATTGCACTGAAGCTTTAGAATCTACCTACCACATATGTTTATAGACATGCACCTTTTTGTTTGTTCGTATTTTGTTCCTCTTTTTCTTCAGTGTTGCAGTTTGTGTTATTCACAACAAGGTTAGAATCACTGCCATATCAGATATGTGACGTCAAAGTGATAGATACTTAGATTTGTATAACCACAGATGTTCTTTGGACTGTACTATATTGAATCCACTAGCTCAATTATTGTTATATAGATTGGAAAAGTGATCCAATCCAATGAGGTAGATGAACCTGTTACTTTGTGAATCTCCTTCAGGCTCTCTGAAGTGATAGTGGTAAACTGTAGGATAAGTAAAAGCCTGTAGTTACTGTGTGGCCATGCTGATGAACGTGTTTATTTAGGAAGTCCTATCAGGGTTAGGGTTGGTAAAGCACATTTGTAGCCTCAGTTGTCTTTAGAGTGTTCAGCCATCAGACAAGAGGGTGGAAGAGACAAATTACCGTAAATTGTCAAAGAGAGGCCAAGGCCTTTATTTACCTCAACTGTAGATTTTTTATTTGAAACTTTATTTTAATTTTATCATATTTTAGTAAGAAACCTCCTTGTTTTCTGATCGGCTTCTGTTTTAATTTGATGTTGACACAAACTGTATAAAATCAGTTGCATTTCCACAGCACTAGTTCAATCTGCACAACAACAGAGTCAGGTCATACTCACCAGCGCCGGAAGAAATGTTGGCATTGTACGTTCATGCAAACCACGAATAATGTGGATGACAACATTTCTAAAGCAAAAGTTGTTTCATAAATACGTTTTATATCACGCGAAACGCACAATACCACATGGTTAAAGTGTGAAATAATTGGTTAAGTGTGGCCAACAAAACTACTTGGTTAAGGTTAGAAAAAAGATCATGGTCTTTATTTATAATAGCATAACAACTTAACTACAGTAAATAAATAGCAGCCCATAGTGGACTTTCCCACATAACGTTGCAGAAGTGGCATAACAGCATTACGTAGCAATCGTAAAATCAATGTTTAGTTTTGGTTTCATACGGGACACAGTGGTCTCCTGGGTGAAAGTCCTATGTTTGTTTGTGACTGGGCTTAGTTTCTCATCTCTAGCAGGAATATTGTTTTCCTTCACTAACCTCAAGGATATTATATAAAGAACCACATGTTTTTTGTTTTTTTTAATATCTTCTGTTCCTGATAAGCTTTTAGTAGATATATTTGTAGGAAATGTTGAGTTTCATAACTTTAAGAAAAAGGCAAAGCAGACGTGAGCATTTTTTTAAAAGTATTAAATATGACAACACTCTGATGTTGTACTGATGGAATTAGTGCTGTGGAAATGTACATTATAGTGAATTTACCAGTTTTGCCATCAGATTACAGGTAATAAAAAAAAAAAATTCATGTTTAGCGACCTGCCTTTATTATATGACCATTATATGAACAGCGGCTTTTATTCCAGAATTTACGGGAATTATTCTCATGAAACTTTTTTTCCCTCCAGAAGTGTGTAGTCTAATTGGTCATTTGTCCCAATATGAACTCGAAGGATTCATTAGGTTTCGTCTTTTAATGTGTTGTGGACCAACTCAACTTTATATACAATAAAACTTTAGAAAAACTAAAGACATGTATGGATAGCTTGCAATTTTCTAGATGTTCAAGATGTTGCATGATACTTTTTTCCCTAAAGATTGACATTATGAATGTTGGATACTGGGGAGTTCTTAGCACAGGGTGCCATCTGCAACACAGCACAACAAAATACATCACAGGAATGTCCATCAGAAGGTTTAATTCTGCATTTCTTCCGGAAACAACAGGGAAGAAGACTGAAACTCAAGAAATCATTCGAAATGCAATCATCATGAACCAAGTGGAACCATCCAGACTAACCTTCCTTTCCCAAAGTGTTTGACTTTGATTTAAGATAGCCTGTTTCACATTTATGTTTTTTCCGTTAGCCCCACAGTATGAATGCCTGACTTTTGATACACTATAACAAGATCTCTCTCAACACTGTACCTCTGTTTGCCTTTGCAGTATTCTCCTCAGTATTCATTTTACAACCAATTACAAGGCAAAGCGAACTGGCTGCACAGCTCTGTGTTTCATTTCTTTCAGTAGCATAATTTATGCAAAAGGTGTTTTATAGATGTTGTAAATTAATATAATAATAAATATATTGCATAAATAAAGACGAGCAAATATTAACATGTGTGTTTTTGTGTGTCTTCATCTGTGAGTCACACTATGACCAAAATGAGTACGTTTGTGTACTTTTTGTTGTGTGGCTGTTTTTCAGGTCCCTTACAATGCATTGGGAACTTTAATATTACAGCACACAACGATATTTTAGGCAATAGTGTGTCTCTTACTTCGTGTCAACAGTCGAGTTCTATACACAAAACCAGTTGCAATAAGAAATGGCTTCCCCAGTTTAGTGTGGAAGAGCTAGCCTGCACAGAGCCCTGACCTCCACTCTATCCAACACCTTTGGGATGAACTGGAACTCAGGCAGCTAGCCATCACCCAACATCAGTGTTGGACCCACAGAAAAAGAATAGGACTAGAACGGACATTCCCATTCCTGGACTCACTGAATGGAGCAGTAAAGTCGTAACGTTACGAAGCGTAGAGAGCCAGAGTGAATGACTAAACTTTAAAAACTGCTCCATCCACACGCTCTTAGCACAAGAGAGCACATCGCTATCACCAGATGAGTGGTAACTTTGTTTATTTTTTGTAACCTGCGTAGCATTAAAGCATGGTGGAATTAGCAAGTTACTTGGTCGAATTATTGGACAGCTGGCTCACGGTCTCTATGGGATCAAATCCCTACAGCCTGCATGCATTTGAGTGTCAATACATTTTCCCCCAATGACATCACATCATTGTTTTTTGTTTCTATTTGAATTCATATTCAGTCATTATGAAGGAGACAGACACATGCAGCAGACACTGATTTCCTCATGTGTTCTGTCTCATTTTGTTTTGCACAATTATGCAAATTGTATGTAACTTTATTACATGAATTATATAACTAATAATGTTTTGAGAAGAAATAAGTAAACATTCTGCTTTGATGATTGTTCCTTACAGTAGTGTGTTCTTGTCGGTAGTCCTTATATGTTAAATACAATTAAATATGATGGTAGGATGAGATTTAGTGCTTTACAATCTGGTGGTTGACATTTATTCACACAATGAATCCAATCACAGTGATTTATATCATCAGTTTAACCTGGAGGATCTCTAGTCTGTTAGTCTATGGTTTACCAAAATTACAAAACGCATACACGCCATAGGAAAACCTCACATAAAATCTGAAACTACAGTCCTGCAATAGATTCTACCTTCATGAAGGTTTTTAATGTTTAGTTTTTGTTGCCATTTTTACTTTTATTTGATATTGTCACTAGAGATTCATACAGAAAATATCTGAGAGAGAGAGAGATAACCTTCACGAAGGTAGGATTAACTGCAGTGTTAGACTGTATCAAACCTCTTCTTGTATCAATGCAGATAGTTGTGGACATCTACATCTGATATCTGTCAATTCAATTCGAGAGAAAGTAGTTTGTGGTGCGCATTAAAAAGTTATTGTTTTTTATTCACCAGTAGCGTATATTTCACAAACATATCCTGCTGGATAATACGGCTTTTGAACAGTTTTAATTGGAACTGCTTTGTGTTGAATAAATAGCCCCTATAAAACTGTTGAAAGCACAGTGTGAAATATCCTGGTTGGTTGAGCCTATTTTTTTAAAAGAAGTCACTGTTGACTTGTTTAAATGTCATTTATCTATGCTGTGAACGCTTCAAATTGCATCTTGTATTTTGATGGAGGTAGAAATCTCTGATCAGAAACATTAAATCTACATTCAACTAAGAGTGACTAAGTTGTAATTTGCATGACCCGATCCTGTGAACCATAACATTTAGCTGGGGACCCTTTAAATTCCAAAGTGAGATCCACGAGTCACACTAACAAAGGCAGCAATGGTTGTAGACTATATCCAGACCTCAGCACTTCTCTGTTTAGACTCTCTGATCGCTCTCTTGCTCTTCAGATGCTGCCTCTCTCCTTTATGGGAGTCCTGTGTCTTTGGTTGCTCTGGTCTAGTCTCTCTGACCTCCTCAGGCTCCCTCATCCTGCCACAGTTCACAGCACAGGTCCAGTCAGGCTGGTGACCCACCACCAGGTCCAAGGTGGGCAGGGAAGTGGTGCTGGTCACGTCCCTGTAGCCTAAAGAGGATGTGAGAGAGGGGCTGTCTGGAGGGAAGGTTTCATACCCCCCCCTCATACCTGGACAACCTCCCCAGGACGCTCTCTCCCTCAGCCTCACAGCCTGCCTGATCTTCTTCCAGCCCAGGTGGTTGAGCTCCAGCAGGTTGAGCAGGATACAGAAAATCCCCACACAAAACATGAAGAGCAAGAAGATGGTCTTCTCCGTGGGCCTGGAGACGTAGCAGTCCACCGGCTGGCTGCAGGGGGCCGAAGTACAGAGGAAATGGACAGGTACCTGGAAGCCAAACAGCTTCCACTGGGCCATGACAAAGCCCACCTCCAGAACAGCCCGTAAACACACATGGAAGATGTAACATTTAGACAGAACCCCTCCAGAGACCACGTGACCGTCTGCACTCCCCTCCTTGATGGTGTAACCTCGGGCGTGGCTCAAGGACACCATGTTGTTGGGGTCTCCCCTCAGGAGGGTCTGAGCGGTGACGCCCTCCAGCACATCCGCCAGGCTGTGACCCAGGTGCTTATGGAAGCGGATGGAGCAACTGTCCGAGTCGCAGCTCCGATCATACACCTCCCGTCCACTGCCTTGCCCTACGGCTGGGCCTCCCTGCCCTGGGATAACTCCTAGTCCTTGCCGTTGCCTCTGGGTGGTATTGTGGGGCAGCTTGGACAGGTTGTGCCACGTGTAGATGATGAAGCAGAGGGATGGCGTGGAAACGCTGATGATGTGGAAGACCCAGAAGCGAGGTTGCGAGATGGGCGCGAAAGCATCATAGCAGACGGTGGAGCATCCCGGCTGCAGCGTGTTGCACACAAACATCTCCTGCTCGTCGGTGTACACGTCCTCAGTCGCCACAGCAACAATGAGCAGCCGGAAAATGACCATGACGGTGAGCCACAGGCGACCGATCATGGTGGAGTGCTGGTGGACAGCATCCAGGAGTCGTTTGAGCAGGGTCCACTCCGTCATGGTGGCCTGTGGCTGCCGGCTGCCTCTAGGAGGGACGAGCTGGCTGGAGTAGAGAAGTCTGCTCTGGACTGATCCACATCTCCTCCTCCCAAACTCCTACCCTGTTAGACTTGCTGACATCTTAAACCACTTTGCAGAAGACCTGGTCTGGGCTACTCTAGCCTGCCTAATCTACACTACCTTCTGGTCTTGAAGTTTTAATTCTCAATTCTGGAAACTTCTCCTAAAATCAGAGCACCTAGCCTCCCTGACGGAAGCCCGCAGTAAGCTGCTCTCTGACTGGCTGCCTTGAAAGCACTGGAGTCATTGCAAGAGAGAGCCACCTCATCTTTCATAGATAAGCATGTCCACTTGACATGAGTCACTTGGCGCGCTCACTCCTCTCCTGTCTTCGGGATCCATTTTAAAACCGAGAGACCTTACCCTTCCTCTACTGGAGGACCTGCTGATAGTGCCGACTGATAGAGCATTCTTTACACATTAGTGCTCTGAAAGCAAATGTGCTCTTCCTTTATTGGAGAAGCATATTTTAAATGATGACCAGTACAGAAGAGCATGCTCACTGTCAAGTCCTGGATAACACACACTGGACAGTGTTATATAGGTTTATGTCAGGAAACACGACTGAGAAAATGTATTAAGAAACCAGGTTTGGGGAAATAAAGTATTCCAGAGTTCAGTCTGGTGTCTAGTGAGGTTTTCTGTTCCAGGGCTTGTTTTGACTGCTCCTCTCCAGCCACTTGTCAATCCTCTTATCTGTATTTTAAAAAAAGACCCTTGAAAGGTCTGCTAGCATCAAATCGTTGTGTCCCCAGATAAAACACTCAGTGACCCCTTTCCTTACTTCAAACAGTCTGGGCAAGCCCCATCTGAGTCTCTGTCTCAGAGCTCTGCCCACAGGCTATTTATGACATGAACACAAACATTTGGTGCAGCGTGAATGACAATGACATTTTACTCACACTACACACTATATATATTATTAAGGCCTCAGTATGCTTCACATCAAGGGCTAGTTGGATATTTGAGCATGGTTTGAGGGATTGAAGCAGACAATTTTATCAACGTTCCAAAAAAGACCATCTGACAATCATATACAGTAATTGGGCAAGTGTTTGGAACTGTGTGTGTGTGTGTGTGTGTGTGTGTGTGTGTGTGTGTGTGTGTGT